TTCGAGTCTTGTGGGTATTAACAACCACGGTGCGGGCCGGGAACTTGTCGTCACCGTTTCTGTAGGCGCAGGATGGGGTGCAGGAGGCGGGTGAGCGGAGGGGGCTGGGGCTTGAGCGTGTTGTGGCTGGAGAATGGGGTTTACCACGGACCGAAAAACGCGAATGTGCATCGACACGCCAATGGCAGCGGTTGCAGCTGCCATGACGCTGGTTGTAGAGGCGTTCCGAAATGCAACAAGTGGAAAATCTGTGGCCTGAGGAGCAGGCGAGGGAGGAGGAGGAGGAGGAGGAGGGGGGACGAGAGCAGCGTATTGATGCAAGAGTGAGCATGTGTGTTCAAATGCATGGAAAGCAACCACAAAGTGGAAGGGGCGCGCGCGGGGGAAGCAAGCCACGGTGAAAGAAGACAAGACCAAGCTAGAGTACGAGCAGGGACCACATCCAAGACGGCAACCCCACGCTGCTGAGCCGCCGCCAGTAGCAGCAGTAGAGAGCAGCTGCAGCATATACCACGAGGGGGGACCCTACCTTGGAGGACTCAGCCAAAGCCTGAACCGGCTGGAAATGCAATCAATGAATGCCTCCTGCAAGCGTCTCTGGAGAGATAAGAGAAAGAGAGAGAGGGGAGAGGGAGGAGGGGGGAGCAGCAGGGCAGACAGGGACGGGCAGAAGCAGAGGAGCCGGCCGCCACAAGGCGAGAGGGACCGAAGAGGGCAAGAAGCGCACAGAGAGAGAGAGAGAGAGAGAGAGAGGGAGAGAGAGAGAGAGCAAACTTTTAGAGAGAGAGAGGGGGAGAGAGACAAATTTTTTAGAGAGAAAAGGGACTTAGAAGGAGAAATTTCATTTTTTAAGAGAGTTTAGGGAGAGTGGGAGGTTTTGAGAGGGAGGGGCTTGGAGTATTAGAGCTTTCACAGAGGGGTTCAGTTAGTTGAAGAGAGGGAGAGATTTTAGAGAGGGAGAGCGATTTTAGAGAGAGATTTGAGAGAGAGATCTCAGGGAGAGAAAGATTTTAGAGAGAGAGAGAGAGAGAGAAAGACCTCTTCAGTGTGTGTGTTTTTGTTTGCCGATGGGGGAGATGTTGGTATCTATGGTTGATAACAGCTGTTGTCATCCTAGTCATCCTTGCACCTCTAAATTAAAGTATTACAATTAGGAGGAGATATGGCATTGTCGTTGTGCTTGACAACCAGTGAAGACGCTGGTGTCGTCAACTAGGGCAGCGCCTCCTGACCTGGGACGCGAGGCGGCCGGGGGCCGCGGGGGAGCAGGGTGGGGGATACAAGGCGGGATGCCCTAGACCAAAGTGAATATGGATGGCTGTCTTGAGCGGGACTCGAAGACAAGACAAGGGATGATTCAAAGATGTGAGGCGTTTCTCATTGTGTGTGTGTGTGTGTGTGTGCGTTGGACGACCATCTGGTTGTGCCATACCAAAGTTATGGCGGAACGGTAGCGCTGCAGCGTCGTGGTCCGGCCATGTGGTCGCGATAAGAGTATTGAGGTCAAGCAGCGCACACTTGAGACGGGTCAGCTCCATCGAGCCGGCATCACGGATGTCAATGCCGGACATCGCTTCGGGGGGAGGGGTCCTTCCCAGCAAAGAAGCGCGCGCCGCGGTACAGTAGGACCTCCCCTATCAATCAGTTGAAAGC